TGATTAGAGGGCTGTAAATTTTAATTAGTGTGGGCCCCACAAATTAATTAATTTGTAGGGCCCACACTAATTAGAGAGAGGTGTAAAATTTACAGCCCTCTAATCACTGTAAATGTAGTGCATTTCGGATGGAAATCTTCAAAATGATGACATGTCGGAATACAATTGGTAGTTATACGACCCATTGGTAAACTTGCCCTCATCAGATTCACACTCCAAAACTAAAAAAAAGGCGCCAAATTTCTCAACTGAAATAACGGCTTTTAAAATTGCTTTCGCACCCCACTCTCTCTGCACTTTTACCAATGGACACCACTTTCTTCCTTTTCCTCCTCCTTGGCTCCGCCGCCGTCATCACCACCGCCACGGCCAAGACCATCGATTCCACTAAGACATTCCAAGAGCATGAATCAATGCTCCAAACCCTCAGAAGCCGCGGCTATACTCTCTTCAGCAACGCAATTACGACCACCGACCTCCAGTACCAACTCCTCACCACCACCGCCGCTGATGATGTTAACAGCACAACGTCGTTTACTCTCTTCTGTCCCAAGGACTCCCAACTCTTCGCCCTCGACATGGCCTCCGACGCCAACATCTACATCAGCACCCTCCACTACCACGTCATCCCCCACCGCCGCCTCACTTTTGCCGAGCTGCGGAACCTCTCCACCTCTTTTCTTGATACCCTCCTCCCTCACTACTCAGTCTTGATTGGGAAAACTCAAAACGATAGTGTGATTTCGAATAATGGGAGTACTGGAGTAATGGTGGATGGGGTTCGGATCTCAGACCCGGATCTTTTTGTTGGATCGAGAACTGTGGTGCACGGGATTGATGACATTCTAGTGACTGGTTTAAACAAGTATTCTGAAGATCTCGGAGAAGAAGAAATCAATAACAACGGCTTGGGTTCTGCTACGCCGGCTGCCACTGCAGGGTATTCTCCTGAGGAGTTTCTTGCTCCGATGGCCCAATTTGATTCGAATGTTCCGGTTCCGCCTCCAAATACAAATCTTGCTTCAATTCCTCAGTTTGAATCAAGTAGTCCAGTGGCTTCGGATGAGGAGACTCTTGCACTTCTCGCTCAATTGGCTTGGAATATTCCAGTTGAGGAGCCGGCGTTATCGCCCGTGAAGAAGGGTAACGAGAAGAGTACCAAGAAGGGTGAAAA